AACTGTAAGGTGAAACAGATGAGATCAATGTTTGTGTTCTGACCATCTTGTTTCAGGGGGAAAAAAACAGAAAAGGAAGTTAAAAAAAATCAATCAATAGGCTGATCAAGTAGCTGAGGTAATCTGCTAAACTGGTGAATCTAGGTTACAGTATATTCCCTGAGTGCCTTTTCTGTGATCCTCCAACAGCTGCTACCTATCCAGAATCAACATCACCTTTCCCAACACATTTGGGTTGACACAATTTTAATTTTGTGCCTGTAGTACCACTGCTCAAGAGCATGGGACAGAGAGCTCAAAAGACATATCTGTGTTGAACTACGTCTGACTGCTGAAAAGACAATATTTTCCTTTATTGTGTTCTCAAAACACTGCACCAGAATATGGAAACTCATTAGCTTTGCCAGCTTCTAAAGTTCTGTGGGAAAGAAGGAAAATTTTGGAAATGACTGAGCAGAAAAATAAAGTAAAGCTCAGCACCATACCATATCTGTTCCCTGTTTTTTTTTAATCCTCTTAATGTTTTCTGAAATCATTCAGTTCTGCTCTCTCAATCAGCCTTCCCAGCTCCACCTATTTTACACACAGAGATTAGGCAATGGGGACCTTTGGTTTCCTTGGCTGTGTTTCTCGAGGCCTCTGACTGGCTAAAACCCTCCACAGTTCCCTCCTAGTCTGTAGAACTGGAAAGGAAATCCCAGTGCCTTATTGAAGATTGTCAGTTTTGGCTACAAAATTAAAGGTAAGGCTTTATTTCTAATTCTCAGTGTAAGTAACATGGGCTTCCAAAAACTTTGGGCCTGTGTATTGCAATTCTTAGTCAAATCTTCAGGCTTCTTTCTTGATTTGAGACCAGAAAATAATAATTCTCCCCTCCCATCCCCCTTTCAGAAAACAAAGAGGAAAAATCAGCTGTCAGGGTTTATATCTTTAGTACATGAACTCTGTGGTACAATTTAATGTGGGCCTATTTGAAATTATTTTTGCTGCAATTTCTTTAGAGTAGCTTGTAGTGAATGGGGCTATCACCTTGGTCTGCTGCTCTGTAATGGAAGAGTGGGATTTGTGGCAATCCTCAGGCAACATGTTAAGGCAAACTCCAGCCAAAGTTAACATTTTATGGCTTGTCTGGTGCATGAATCTCATTATTGTGGTTTGTAAAACTGTATTTTTTGAATTAAATTTGGAATCCAGTCAGCTGTGAGGTGTTTAAAATAGAGGTTAGGGAATCCAGCCTCTAAAAGATATAGAGGAGAGTCTTCTTGGCATGAATGTGCAACTCTACTTCCTGATTTACTTAAGTAAATGATTTACTATTTATTTACTTAAATAGGTTTACACATTGTTTTGAATGTTTAAATTATGATTTATGGAATAAGACTCACCAATCTGAGTTAAAAACCAAAGAACATATAATGGTCTAATCTAGGTTGTCATATAAAACAAAGAATACTGAAGTACATGTTCAGCTTGATTTTATTTGTGGAAGAATAGTGGTCAACTTCAAAAAATTCTTCTTTTCAATAAAGTGTAATTTATTTTTATTTATTAAACAAATATATTCAGTCTGTAAAGTTTTCTGCTTCAAAGATCTTGCATGAATTGCTAATTTTGAGGTTACACTGCTGTTTTTGAAAACATGGCCATCAGAGTATGTTAAAAAGATGATGGAAAAATCATAGGCTAAACTATGATTGGCTGATTTGTGGTTCATGATAATGAGTGAGCAAAGCCAATGTAAATCCTTCCACTTGCACAGGACAATTTCCTGAAATTTCTTGACAAAGTTTTCAGAGGTTGCCAATGTCTGCTTCCTAGGGCTGAGAGACAGTGACTGGTTTAACATCACCCAGCTGGTTTCATGCCTAAGGCAGAACTAGTGTTCATGATGTTGAAAGAAAAATCTTCATCAGAATCTAGTCCAAGCTGGGAATAATCAAAATGGAGACTGCTTTAGAAAGAAAGTTGCAGTTTATTGAAAAGAAAAGCCAGACTGAAAGATGGCTCTGGGAAAAACTGACCACAGGTAGTAGGGAATGGTGGGTTTTTATACCTTCCTGGACTTTTGTTTGGAGTTGTTCCTGTGGCATGAACTTTTACCTGAGTCTGAATTTGCCTTTCTGGTATTCTGAATGGTGGTGGATTAATCCTATTATATCTCAAATGTCATATCCTGCTTCCTTGGGGCTGTGACTGATGACTCTTGGATTTTTGGTATGAGGGATTGTTGATTCTAGGGATCTTTAGCTTTTTAATCCAAGCTTCCTGGCTCCAATCTTTTTGACAAGATTATCACATCTGCATTTCTGAAGACCTTGTTTCTGTTTGGGGTAGAGAAACTTGGGGGGTGGTTGATTTCTGCCTAAGATCCTTTGGGGAAATATAATATTTTGCCTTTCTCTGGGGAGGCTGACTTTCCACAATGGTCTCCCACTTTCTAGCCTAATATCTTAATCATGATATCAAACTATAGATATCTCTAGTATTTAAATACACTTCCTTAAACCAGAATGTCAAAACATATTTTGATTATTATAATTATAGAGGATGACCCTGAAAGACAGAAGAAAGATCCATTATCAAAGCAACAATTAGATAAATGAGGCTTGAGCCCAGACTAAGAAAGTGTTTTAGGAAAACACCTCAGATAGCCCCATCCAATTCACATGAAGTGAAAAGAGGAAGGAAGGGAAGCACATTCAGACTTGCAAGATTCTTTTACTGTAGCTGTTCTAATAAAAGTATCTTTAGGTCTATATGGTACAACCTAGTATACAAATTTATCAGCCCAAATGGCACTGTTCCTATTCTTTCAGCTGTAAAATCTACAGAAGAGTTTTCATCTAATCTATTTCAATATTACATGAACTCATCTTTGTTAACTTGTCATGTTTCTATATAGTCATTTTATTAGAAAATCACATTTATTTTCATACACAATCTGTTCATAAAGTTTTTAATTCAATAAGGTAGTATTTGACTTGTATAAAACATTGGTCAAAGGAAGGAAATAATTAAGCTGACTCTCCTGCTTCTAAAGATGTTGGATCCAATGTATTATACATACACTGATTTGATAGCTCAGAATTCTAGGCAGCCAGTCACCTTTTTTATCACTTGTGACATTACAAGTTTATGTAATCGAGATTTAGGATTTTTTTGCTGGTTTCTGGCATTTTTCACCAATTCAAATACCATTTGAATGAATAGATTTGGTTAATATCACTGCATTGCTTGATGACCATGATGAAAAATGTCAGAAAAACACTTCCAGTTGTGTGGACACCTTGATTTAATGACCATAATGACTTATGACTAGGTCTCCAGTCCCAGATGCAACTGTCCAGCATTATATCTGACTTTATACACTTCAATATTTGCTTGTCACCCTTGCTCTTTAAGCAATGTGCAGGATCCTTCTCTAACTTCAATAAGTCAATTTTCCTCTATCTGGTTTTTTCAACTCTATATTGCTATGGGAAACATGCATTTAATTGCAAATGTCTTTGCTTTTCTGTCCTTAGTTCATGTTCATCAATGCTGTGCAGCCCAGTATGTTTAATACTTTATCTCTGGACTGCTTTTAGTGCTTTGATCAATCTGTGCTCCTACAAAAGTGAATTCTAGCACACATTTGATCTCTTCATTCTCAATTGTTATTTTAACATTTCTATTCCTCACAGTGGTCATGAGCTTGGTGTTTTTGATATTCAGAAAGATGCGAAATTCTCATTAAAGAATTCTCATTCTTTAATTCCTTTGATCATATATTTCAGGATTTTTTTGGTTTCTGAGAGGAAAATTATGTCATCAGCATACTGAAGACTGTTGATGTTCTTTCCTCCAATATTTACTTAATTTTTGATTCTTCAAGTTCCAGCTTCCTCACAATCATTTTGGCATTGTCTAAGAAAAGTGAAAGAATGCAACCTTTCTCTATCTTGAACAATCAGTGTCTCCCTATGGCATTTATACAGTGACTTCCTGAGATTCAGCATATGCATAACTTTATCACATGGTTTATACCTTCAGGTCCATTAGGATTCTTCACCCATACCTGGAACATAGTGCTAGAAGGATTTGTTCAAAAGAAACAGACCTAATAAAAGGGGAGATGGTGTGGCATTTTATGTAAGAAATAACTACACCTCTACAGAAAACCAAACCTCTTTGAATGCATTTGAATTAATATAAAATGAAAATAAATGACATTGCCATTGATATACACTACAGGCTTGCTCAAGCAAGCAAAGGAAATAGATGAACTTTTTTGCTAAATAATTAAAGGTGTGCAGGAACCACACCACAAAGTAATGGGGGACTTTAACTACCCTGGCATTAACTGGGAGACAAAATCTGCACTGAGTGGGAGATCAAACAGGTTTCTGATGAACCTAGCTGACAACTTTGTCATCCAAACAATAGAGGAAAGAACTAGAGGCCAGTATGCTGGATTTAACTCTTACTAATAGGGATGGAATGATAGAAGGGGGAGAGTGACTATGTCATACTAGAATTCAACATAATGCAGACATAAGCAATAGAAGAACTACTTTAAGAGAGCTGACTGCAACAAACCTAGATAGAACTTAGGAAGGATTCCATGGATAGAAATCCTAAAGAGAAAACAAATCAAGAGACTTGGGAAACTCTGAAAAATGAGATTATAAAGACCCAGTTTAACATAATACCAGAAAGAGAAAAAGTGACCTCCCAGATGAAACTAGAATTTCACAAAGAAAACTCTGATAAGCTGAGAAAAGATAAGTATAAAAAAATAGAAAGATGGATACATAACTAAAACGGAATACTAGCAAATAGTCCAAATCTGTAAGAACAAAATCAGGAAAGCTAATGCTCAGAATGAACTACTGTGCTGGACCTGATTGTAGCCAGCTAGAACTGTGTTAGAGTATTTAGCATTTACAGGGTTAATGTTGTAGTATTAAGATAACTGTATGTAAGAACATGTACCATTTAAAGGGTTAAACACCATTTCCTTAAGAGATGGCTTCTGTGTAATGTAGTTCAGTTTTTAGTTAATCCTATAGCTTATCTAGACAATGGGAGGAGTTAAAAAGTTATTGCAGGACATCCTGTTATGTGTCGGGGTTGTAAAATCCCTTTGTGAAACCAAGCATGTGCACGCATGGATGGCATCTGTAACTATGCTCAGCTGATATGGAGAATTACCGCTTTTTTACCTACGAAAATATGGACAAATATGCAAAAGACCGGACGCATCTACAGCATAGTAAGTCTCTGCCTAGAATTCCTGGACAATAAATATTTGTGTAAAACCATTTTTGTTGAGTTTACCTACAAGGCATCTTAGTTCAGGTTCAGAATAATTACAACAAATGCCAAAAATAACAAAAAAAATTCTTTCAGTCAAAGAAACAATCAGGAATATTGCATCCAATTCTGGACACCATGATACAAAAAAATACATTGAGGTGCTAGAAAAAGTGCAGAGAATAGCAACAAAGATGATAAAAGGTCTGGAGTCTAAAGCATTATGAACAGCTAAGGGAATTAGTTATTTTCTAGCCTACCCAAAAAGATTTTTAGGATTGACATGATAACTGTCATCAGATACTTGAGGGATTGTCAAGAGAAGAATGGGTTGACATATTCTCCAATGCATCTGAGGGCAAGAACAGAAGTAACGAATAGAAGAAGGTCATTAAAAAAAGATCCAACCTAGAACTCGGAGAAAATTCCTTAGAAACTTCATTGTCTTTCCTTACTGCTGGTTTTATCTGAGAATCGTGCACTTTTTCCTCTGGGTTCTGTATGACATGTCTTCAGGGGCTGTTTCAATGATGGTCAGTTGAATTTCTTGCTACAGTTCATCAGGCATCTTCTCAGCAGTGCCCAGCAGATCAGACCTATTTTTCATCTCAGTGGCATGGAACGGATTTTGGGGGCGTCAAGCTTCTTTGATGGTATTATTTTTTTGACATTGCATAACTGACTCTGATCTTAGCTGCCAACAATTCATCATTTGAACTTCAAATCATACCCAGATATTTTGACATCAAGGATTGAACTGGATCATAGATGGAAATATTGGACATAGTGGATTTGATTATGGTGCAGTTTATTTGGTGAAATTGTAGTTTATAAGAGGCACCTGTGCTCTTTGAACCAGGCATTCATGATTTAAAACAATTTTCATGTCAGAATTGAACCAAAAGATTGCCTGAATCATTCTTCTCCCTATGTCCAAAGTTACTAGTTTTTATTTGGCTATCAATGTTTATACTGAAATCACCTAGAATATATACAATATATTTTGGGGGCTCTTGCTTCAAAGTATTTTTGATGCTGGGATAGAAACTATTTCAATTTTCTATTTCTATTTTAAGCTCCGTTGCATAAATCGTTAGGGCAGAGACTTGAATAACTGTGATTTTGAGTGCGTGGCACAGATTTGAATGGTTAGAATGTGATCATTAACCATCATGAAACTTTCAACTGCTGGGACAAGTTTTTTTATAAATGTTACTCCAGTTGTTTTCTTGGTGTCATGTCCTGAATAATAAATAATGAATTTCTCAGATTGAAAATAGCTGTAGTCTATCTAGTGTAACTGGTAAGCACCAAAGAGGTTCATTTTCAATCTGGCCATCTCCTGTTCAATGGGTTACAATTTACTCTGACTTGTTCCTCATTGCTTTGTATTTATTAGTTTATCAAAATACAAAGTACAGAGATACAAAGAAAAATGAAAATAATGGAAAAAAGGGAGGAAAGGGGAAAGAGGAAAAAGGTTTAAACAGAATTAAAAAAAAGAAAAGCCTCAACTTCCAATTTTTGGGGGGCAATAGAATAAGGTAATACAGGTAGCCCTCAAGTTACGAATGGAATGGAGCCTGCCCATTCCATTCGTAACTCAAGGATTTGTAGGAGTGAATCGCATATCTTGAACACGATTCACTCCCAGTTTTCGCCCACGCATTTGCTAATTTAATGTGTGGGCGAATGCACAGCTCATTAAGTGAGCATGAGGTATCTCAGGGTGGGGAAGGCCAGGGAGGTCTAGTTATGGTAAAGGCCATCTTCAGACTACCCAAGGCCTCCCCTGACCTATTGAAATACTTTCTGCTCCCTCCCTTGGGGACCCATAATTGTTCCCCCCCATCCTGCCATGCCAGATCACTTACCTTTTGAAGATCTGTCTCCTCTCCAACTTCTGTTTCTTTCTCTGCTCCTGGCAAGAGCAGAGGGAGGTTTCTAAGGCCCAGAATGGATCTCCAGAAACATGTGGCCACAGCTCACAGCCTCTGTTTTGGGCCTCCAGAAGCCCTCTGAAATGTCCCCTGGCATCCTTTCTGGGATACAATACCATGGAAAAGGCCCCTGATGCATGGATCGGCCCTCCAGAGCCCTGCTGAAGACTCCCCCAGTATCATTTCCAGGTATCAGGGGCCTTTTCTGGGATGCTGCCACCTGGAAATGACACCAGGGGACACTTCAGTGGGGCTCCGAAGGCCTGATCTGGGCATCGAAGGCCTCTTCTGGGCTGCTACCACCCAGAAATGATGCTAGGGGATGCTTCAACAGGGCTCTGGAGGCACGATCTGGGTGTCAGAGGCCTTTTCCAGGCCGCTGTCACCCGGAAAGGACACCGGTGGATGCTTCAGTGGACCTCCGGAGGCCTGTTCTGGCTGTGGGAGGCTTTTGCCTACCTCCGGAGGTCTGTTCTCCCCCAGCCTCCATTCTGTTCTCTTTTGCAGAGAACAGAGGCCTAAACTACCATGAGATCACGTGAGATCAGAAGTGTGAGATCTCTTACCACTGATCTCGCGTGATATTGTGTTACTTTAAGCTTCCATTCTTTGTGAATGCACTGAAGGAAGCAGCAAAACAGCCATGAAAGCGAAGGTGAGTATCCACTGACCTAGTGCCTAGGGAGACTCGGGTGGGGGAGGGGGGAATAGCCAGGGTGAATGTTGCAGTGCCACTGCGGTTGATCGTAAGGGTGAACAACTGCCGTGGTGCAGCAACATTAGTAATTTTGGGACTTTTTCGTAAACACTGGGGGGTGCTTATTGCATAACTTTGAACGTTCATTAAGGGAATACTCGTAACTCAGGGATTACCTGTAACATACAACTTTTTTCTTTTACATAATAATACATACTAGCCATTTCTATAACAATCACCTATCTAATCAGCAAAACCCAATATCAAAGTTTCATTTTTTCCCACCTCAACCAAGTCATTTCACATCACTGTCTATTGGATCTATGCAGTGTAGATCCTTGCTTTCACTAATGGCTGCATTAGTGAGCTGGGATTTCTGCTGGATTTGTTCCTGGCACATCATTAATGACTAGACTGCTCATTGCAGGTTCCCATTTTTCTCTAGAAGGTTGTTGGATATCTTCTGGTGGACATACAGTAATTCAAATGTTAAAAGCATGTCATAGGTGGTCTCACAGAATGATACCTCATAAGCATTTGTTCCATGAGGGCAACCACCAAGCACAAACATTTATCAGAAGTCAAACTCATGAACCCACTCCAAGTGTAATTTATACTATCCCAACCATAATTTTTATTTTCTAAGAATGCCAGTAAGATTTATATGCCAAGCTTGATACTATTTAATTTTTCACTCAATTGTTTTTAAATTGAAAGAATCTTTAAATAAAGAAGTCAGACAGGATATTGCAAGAGAAAGTATCTTTGAATGTGTTGGCAACATCTCTTTTGGACATTAAAGAAATATATTCAGCATAATATAGTACAAGGTGTGCTTCTAATTATACAGTTACTGTCCAGAGCTAAACAATATTGCTGGTAATTTTTTAAACAAATGTGGAATAGAATAGAAAACATATTTTTAAAAGCCCTAAAATTAAATATTAGTAGGACGACACCCTTAAAATATCTAGTCAGAAAGGTAAAATATAAAATTAGTCCTTTATTTGGCATGATGGTGTAAGTTTAAATTGATTAAACTAGGCTTCCCAGCTTATTTAGCAAAATGTTTGATAAGGAATGGATATTCTTGCACATGTTCCATTTATTTTTTCTGATTATATTGCTTGACGTTATTCCAGAGATGGCTACCGAAGATTATCTTCGTCAGGACTGCCAGATGGTCCATGGTATTCCTATGGTCTATGCATTCTCCTTTGACTGGGATAGAATTGAAAATTTCCAGAGTAGGCCAGATGATATTGTGATAGCCACATATCCCAAATCTGGTGAGTTTTCAGTATTAGAAAAGGGGAACCTGGTGGCTTGTCACTTTTTCATGAAGCCTTCATTTTATGAAGGTTTTTTTCTTGGAATGCAGATTTCAATACAACTTCTGGCAAACTTAATGGGCTGTTTGTTTCTAGGCACAACGTGGCTAAGTGAAATTGTGGATATGATTCTGAATAATGGTGATCCTGATAAATGCAAAAGAGATGCTATTTTCAATAAAGTGCCTATGTTAGAATTTGTTGTCCCAGGGAAGATGCCAGCAGGTAAGCTTTGATCCCACTTATTAATATAGAGACACAGGGTAGAAAAGATCAAGAGGTGCATCTGGCAAGTCAAATTCTGCCTTCCTTTATTTTAATTTCTTGGAATGAATAAAAAGATTTATGTTGTGAGGAGTGGAAATATGTATTTTTGGAGGAGGGTCTACTTTGTCCATTTACAGACTGAACTAGGAGAAAAACAACATGGAAAAATTAGCCAGAAATTTGTCCATAGTCTGTTAATATAAGTAAGAGAAGGAGAAAGTTGCATCATATGGAATAAGTGTGACATAGCTATCCAAATAGATGTGTTGTGGAGCATCATATGGCATAAAAAAATCCAAAGAAAAATAAGAAAAGATCAAAAAGCCATTCAATAAATGGTGAACTCACTATGCTAATTAATTAATATGCTAACCCATATTAAAACAGAATACTATGTTCCTCATATTAATATCAAATTTTTAAAAACTAACTAAATAAAAAAATGAATCCAGTTTTCTAGCATTGCTATTGGACCCAGCTCTTTCAAGGGCTTATTTGATGCCTATGGGGAATCAATCCATAATAATAGCTGCATTGATCAGCATTTTAGTAAAGGATATTTTGTTAGTTAAATGTTATAGATCTCTTTTTTTCCTCTCCTCTGGTCTGAGCTGTGACTAAAAGCACATAGGAAAAATCACTATCAAGTGGTGTTATACACACACACATACACACACAAGTACACACACATTAGTACAAAAAAAAACCATTACAGTACACAAAACAAAATATAGTATTTCTGGAAGCCATTTTGCAAAAGACGTTTCTGAGTCCAGTGGATGGATAGTGGAAGTAAAAAAGAAATAAAAGGAAAACAAATACTCTGCAGACAAGTCTCAAAGTTCAGAGGAGGAGTAAGGGAGGACAAAGCAGTGGTGGGATTCAAATATGTGAACAATCAGTTGTCTGTGTGGAGGCCGCTTCCGGAAGTCCATTCTGGGCCTGGGCAACAAAAAATTAGCTACTAGTTCTGCCGAACTGGTGCAAATTGGCTGAATCCACGACTGGGACAAAGAATACATGAAATGTAAGCTTGTGCATGCATCATAATGTCACACAGACATGAAAGGGGCAGAAGTTCACTATAGTGGTGAGATGCTACTTTTGTTATTTTAACAAAAGCATTGGATAAGGCAAACATTTGGTTAACATTCTCTCTCTTTTTTTAACTATTTAGGCTACATCCAAATTTGTCATTTGCCCACGATCATTCCTAAAATGGGTTACCAATGGGCTGCTGGTTCCAGATTAGGCATGCTATGTGCAACATCAGAGAATTGAAAAACCTGATAATTTATTTTATTTATTTATCAAATTTCTACCCTGCCCATTGGTTTACAGATAACGTAGAGCAGCACTGCACACTTAGAGGAGAAAAGTCCACATTGATAAATTTAAAAACCTCACAGACCACTAAGAAATTCCTGGCACAAAGGTCAACTAAGCTGGCAGCAGTGGACCTGAAAGATGTTGAAGATGTTTGGCAGTGCATCTTTTGATACGGCAGCAGCAATGAATTTATTAATTTTTTCAGAAATGCTTGGGGAAAGTAACACAAGCTGCATGACAGGCCACATATTTGTGCCTGCCTGAAGTAGATACTCATTTTCTTTGACAAACACAAAAGAATGAATACTCTGCAAGTAGTTTGGCGTTTATATCCTCTACTGCTCACAAGACTTCTCCAGAACTTATTAACTTGTTTGGAGGGGAGTTTAGCAGTATATACCTATAGACAGGCCAAGTTTCTCACAAACTCTCCAATAGTTGGGAAACATCAGGCAACACTGAATACAATGTATTAGAAATATCTGTTGATCAATTTGGAGAAGGTTCCTAAAGCTGGGTAGGAACCAGTCTTAAATATTGCTTTTATCAAAGGCTATCCAACAGTAAACATGAAACCGATGTTCAAAGACGACTCCCTAGGTGGATTGTAGAGTTCAGTTATTAGTTTTGTAAAAATCAGTAACAGTGGATATCAAATGGGAAGATGCCAAAGTTGCTGCCGCAGATGTGGTTCATTGGAAGAAGCTTGCTGCCCTATGCACTTCATGTGAAAGGAATCACATGATGATGATGATGAAAAAATCAATAATCATTCACTTTTTAATTATCCTTTTAGTCACATTACATTTTTCAAAGTTTATCAGTGATTTTTTAGTCTCTTTTTTAAAATACTTAAATTAGTACTAAATAGTGTCAAGACTCAGCACTGACTTGAAGACCCCTACCAAACATAGTCAGTTTAACGGGTGCCCCCTGCATTTCCAATTATTTTCTATATCGGCAGTGTCTATATGATATTCCTTACCATCTCTCATTGTTTTACTTGCAAGGCACAGAACAGTTAACTCATATGTCTTCTCCTCGCGTGGTGAAGACCCACCTTCCAGTAAGCTTACTTCCCAAATCTTTCTGGGACAAAGGCTGCAAGGTAAATATATTTGTCAGCATGATACATTGTGAAAGGGTCTGGAGGGCATCTAATCCAAAACAATCCAAACCCTTTAGAAGTAATTTTTCCTCAAATACTGTCATCAGAGATGCTCCTTACTTATATTTTTTTCTGGGATGTGGTGGTGTAGCTCTCCAAGAATAAATGTTATTTGGGGGATGTCAAATGTCAATCCATACACTAGCACATTTGACTTATTTAACACCAGAACTCTTCATATCATTTTGTCCTTTAGGTGGGAAGTCTTGCTAAAATGACAGATTTCTCCACCTCTTCCTTACACCTCATTAGTCTACCAAACTTTATTATGGTCCAGACCAACAAATAATAGCATTAAAATAATAATAGTAAAATATAAAAATGAAAGACAGAATAAAATATTGCAATTGATGATGGATTAACAGTAGACAACTAAAGTTTGCCTAATTTTATACATACCATAGCAAAATTTGGCCATATTCAGAGAAATTGCTTCATAATGATCTGATAAAAGTAATTGTACATAAAAAAGATCAGTATTTCCTAGATATTTTATTAAGTAAGGTGTTATAAATTGAGTCTGTAAGTCTCAGAAAATGTTTGTAAGTCTTACAGAAAATGCAGTATACCAGATTTGAGCTATAGTTTTAATGGGGGCACAGTCTCATCTTTTTTGATTCACTCCTCCAAAACTGCTGTGGGAAGTGCGTTGCAGTGCACTGCACACTCCATATACCCCACCTACAAAGTTTTGCTAATTCTTTAGTAGTACTGCTATAAAACATATTGGGTTTGGTGGTACTGCCATATAGAACAGAAATGTTTTTTTAAAATTATTGGTCAGAATTCTAACAGAGTCTGCTTAGAAAACCTATCTAAAAAGATTGAACAGATTAAATCAGTGGTATTTTTTATGAATTGAAGTAGATAAAGGATAACATTTTTTAAAGCAAAAGTAATCAACTGATTAAGTACTAATCGCTTTGATTAGAATTTGAATCCTTTACCTGTTAATCCAGATTATACGTATGTGTGTGCGCATGCAATGGTCAATTACAAATCAGGAGAAAATGGTTTTACAATCTGAAATTTATTATTATACCTTCCTCAGAAGACTTGAGAAAAGAAAATTGTAAAGTGTTTTGCAGATATAATTATGATTACTGTGACAATCCAACCCTGATGGATAGGCATTTCAGAAATATTTCCTTAACTACCCAAGGAACAAGAATGACCAGGAGCAGGCAAAAAGCAGTGGGAGTGGGAGCAACTTAAAACTTACTGCCAGCTTCCCCATTAAGTTTCTTTGCTACAGACATAAGAGTTTTAGTAGCACAGTAATCCTCAAATTACACACAGCTGCTTTCCAAGTTAGTTTTCTATTTGAGCCCATTCTAGATGTAGAGATATAGAGACAAGATCACTATATTTTTTTTATTTGCAGTCTCATTTAAGTAATTACTAATTACACTAGAAATTGTGAAGAATCTGGTAACACTTTTTTTAGATTAACAAGTTTCTTAAAACATTTCTTTTTTTAAAAAAAATAAAGGTTTAGTGATTTTGGGCAACCCTAAGTACTCCATGCATCCAAATAGAATTTGGTGGGGTTACCTGGTTGAGCACCACTGTTTTATAAGATGCAATGATCACAGGTGGTTTTTCATTATTCTAGTCTCTTCAGTAGTGAAAACTATCAGTAGCTTATGCATTCTATGTGTTTTTTATTTGCTCCAATGAAGATGATCTATATGGCTCGTAATGCAAAGGATGTTGCTGTCTCCTTTTATCACTTTGACTTGATGAATAAGCTACATCCAGATCCTGGCTCTTGGGGTGACTACCTGGAGAAATTCATGACAGGAAGAAGTAAGTTTTCAGGAAACAAAGTGATGAGACTGAGTCTGTTTGCTGCTCACTCACTGAAGAAAAAACCCAAATCAGATTATGGACAGAATTTTTTTTAGTTAAAAAAAAGAAAATGTCTCCTTTTCAGGTAGGGATATGAGTTATGTTTGTATATCTTATAACATTATATGTCTAATAGTGGTTGAAAATACACAAGAATAGTAAAAAAGATTAAAGTACTCATTATATTCATTCATTATATCCTTTGTAATCAAAGCTGCATTCTGGAAAAAAAATATGTGATTTCATGCACATCTGTCTATGCTAATATCTGTCCTACTTGCCACATTGGAGTGGATAAAGTTTCCTCACCTATTCAGACAACAAAGACAAGTCTTAAGTAATATTGGGGCAGTCAATCATTACTCTGAACAGTTGTTAAGTGACTGATTAAAAATTGAGAAGTAGCTATATTATAATAAAATGTTGCTTGAATGTTTACCTGGGAAATTATTTGGGTGAGGAATGTCAAATTTACACAAGCCCAGAACTTAAGGGAGAATTTTTATAAAATGTTTTATAGATGGCACCTTGATCCACAAAAAATGTCTCGTATGTATCCTGACTTACAGCCTAAATGTTGGAGATGTGGTTGTTTGGATGCTACTTACTATCATATTTGGTGGTCGTGTAAAAATATAAAAGCCTTTTGGATTAAGATATGGTGGAATATTCAAAGAATTTTTAGAAGGAGGGTAAAATTTACCCCACAATTGTTTTTGTTAGGTATTGTTATTGATTGTGATATTAAAGAGACCACATTGATGTTAAATTTAATTACAGCCGCAAGGTTGTTAGTAGGGCAATGTTGGAAGAAGGAATCTTTGCCTACTTTGCAAGAGTGGTTTTTTAAAGTTTCTTATTTGGCGGAAATGGCAAAGATTTCAGCTTTTTTAAAGGATCAATCGCAAGAGAAGTATTTTGCGGTATGGAAAAAATGGATAGATTTTATACAATATAAGTTGGATATTAAAAAATATTATTTAGTTTATCAATAACTTATATTTAAAATTTAAAACATTTTATAGATTTTATTCTTTTTTTATTTTTATCTTTTATTTTTATTATACTTTCTTTTATCTTTTTCTTTTTTCCTTTTCTTTATTCCTTTTCCTTTCAAGTATTTTTTTTTGGTATTTATGTTTTTTTATATATATATTATTGTTAATTATTTTATAATTTGTTCAATTAATGTATTTAGATTTATTCATGGTTTATATCTTTTTAAAGATTTTTTGAAGAAATTTTAATTAAGCCTATGTTCAGCTCTGGGAAGGTCGGGGGAGGGAATGGGAGGGTTGGGGAGGTTTGGGGAAGGGTTGTTTTGTTTTTGTAAAATTTCAAAAAAATTCAATAAAAAAAATGTTGCTTGAATGTTGACATTGAATGGTAGCCTTTATTATGGAAAAGACAAGCCTGATATTTGAACCAATATTTAATTGTTCTTTGCACTTCTCTTTTTAACTGTACAGTTGGGAGAAAACAATGTTAGTGCCAAAATTTAAGAATTTATTCTGTCTACATGTCCAATTTGACCATAATCATATGCTGTTGTTTAAAAGAGTGGAAGTTGTGCTTACAAGTCAGTCTTGACTCCTAGGGTCAATTTTTGGGAAAGATTTAGCCTTGCTTTTCAGGGCTAAGAGAGAATGTCTAGCCAGCTAATTTCATGCTTAAGGCAAGACATAGTCTTCTGGTTTCTAGCCTGATGATTGTAATCGGCACACCAAACTGTCAGATATAGTAATTAGATTCAGCCTATTGTTATCTTTATAGATAAAGCTAAAAGGGGCGTTGATCATTGCACCACACTGGCCAAGATGGCCATGGTTTGCCGATCTCGTAAACCTCCTCAACCAGGAGTCCCTGTTACATCCAGACACACAGTGGCTCCAATTGACTGCCTGGCACTTAAGTGGAGTCTCCTAGAGAGAGACAACTTCTCACAAAGAGTCATTAGGACTCTCCAGGCCTCTAGAAGGCCTACAACTAACAGGATCTATGATTCCATTTGGAAAAATTATTGCGGTTGGTGCTACAGGCAACAACTAGACCTATGCAACATCTCTATCCCAGATATCTTAGACTACCTAGAGCAGTGGTAGTCAACCTGGTCCCTACCACCCACTAGTGGGCGTTCCAGCTTTTTTGGTGGGCGGTAGGGGTTCAATCGAGCCGTTTAAATTTTTGGATCCATTGAGCCCTCCAATCGGCTCACAGAGCTTTCCACCAGGCGCGGGGTGTTAGCCTCAGCTGTGTGACCCCCCACGGAGCTCTCGGAGGCCAGAGAGCCTCGCTAAAGTGCGGCATCATCGCGAGGCTCCCGTCAACTTTCTCGACGATCCGGATCACAGCAGAGGCTGCGCAACGAGATAAAACTGCAAGTGCCTCATTTTCGGCTTCAGGGGGTGGAAATTAAAGGCACAATGAACAACAAGCTTCCTCTTAGAGTCCCTCATGGCTGGGAAGGCCCAACCGAAATACAAGCGGCCACTAATTTTGGTGCGGCCACCATTTTGAGAGCCACACAGAGCCCTCAGTCATAGAGGTTTCAGGCATCTCTGACAAAAACCAGGCTCTCTCTTCATCTTGCTGTGACAGGCACGGATCGGGGGCAAACCAAACTCCACTGGGCATTCCCTCAATACAAAGGTAGAGGCCATAAAGGCTTTCTCTTCATTCCTGCTTGCCCAGGACAGAAAGTCGGTGGCGCGGCCACCATTTTGAGAGCCACACAGAGCCCTCAGTCATAGAGGTTTCAGGCATCTCTGACAAGAACCAGGCTCTCTCTTCATCCTGCTGTGACAGGCACGGATCGGGGGCAAACCAGACTCCACTGGGCATTCCCTCAAGACCAAGGTAGAGGCCATGTCTCAAAAAAAGAAATACGCTCGTGGCTATTTGCCAGAGTATCTGAAGATGGGTTTCATAGAATCTGTTGTAAATAAACAACACCCAATGTGTTTATTGTGTCATAAAACATTATCCAATGAGGCAATGAAGCCAAGTCGATTGCGAGAACATCTTTCTACAAAGCATCCAAATGATAAGGACAAGCCCATTGAATATTTTCAGGAAATATATAAAAAAATTTCAAAATCGTTCAACAATCGTTGCATCATTTAAGAAACAACATGCAGCGAACGAAGATGGATTAATTTGCGCTTATCGCATTTCACAATTAATTGCAAAAAGTGGTAAAAGCTATAATATTGGAGAAACAGTAATAATACCCTCTATAAAAGAATTTATTTCAACAGTAATGCATCAGGATATACCTGAAAATTTAAAAACGTTGCCCCTAAGCGATAGCACAGTAAAGCGACGAATTGATGAAATGGCAGTTAATGTTGAAAAAAAACTGATAAGTATTCTCCAAAACACTTCATTTTCTATGCAACTGGACGAGTCTACCACTGCAGATAATAATGCTTTATTGATGGCATATGTACGTTATTTTGATGAAAACAATACATTACAAGAAGAAATGCTATTCGCAATAAATCTCATTACAGATACAAGAGGATTATCTATATTTAATACTGTGAAATCATACTTTACAAAAAATAATATTCCTTTGAATAATATTGTTGCATGTGCTACTGATGGAGCACCATCAATGGTAGGTTGCTATCGTGGATTTGTTGCTTATTTGAAGGAAGAAGTGCCAAATGTTTTATGTATTCATTGTGTGGTGCACAGACAACATCTTGTAGGAAAACATCTAAGTACAACTCTCCATTCATCATTAAATATAATAATTCGAGCCATAAACAAGATCAAATCCAAACCAAAAAATGATAGAATGTTTCGACAGCTTTGCCAGGACAATAATGAAGATTTTATTACGTTACTTTTGCACACAGAAGTTCGGTGGCTGTCAAAGGGTACATCTTTGGCTCGTTTTGTAGCATTATATGATAGTGTCATATATTTTTTTGAAAGTAATAATGAGACCAATTTGTGTCAACAGTTAAAAACAGTAAAGAATGATGCCTTTTATTTGGCAGATATTTTCAAGAGATTTCATGATGTCAATTTGCAGCTTCAGGGAGCTAATAAGACTCTTATAGGTTGCCAAACTATTGTGTCATTATTTATTGACAAACTTGAACTACTTCGTTATAATCTATTGAAGAGAGAATTTCATCAGTTTCCTGAATTATCATCTATAAAAGATGATGTAACTCCAGAGGATATTGACAGATTTAGTAGCCACCTCAACGAACTTAAATTGGACATGGAAAAACGATTTGAAGATATTTTGAAATTGAAGGTGTATGACTGGATGAAAAATCCTTTTACCGCAAATATTGAAGAGGCTGATATAACTTGCCAAGAAGAACTGTTAGAAATTAGATATGATGAAGAAAGTAAACATAAATTTGAAAGTGGTGGATATGAAAACCTATGGCAAAGTAAAAAAATGCCTGCCTTATATCCAAATATGTGGAAAATGATATTCAGTTTATTGATACCTTTCCCTACCTCATATCTTGTGGAATCAGGCTTTAGTGCTGTTAATCATATTATGACCAAAGAAAGAAACCGCCTGAATATTTCCGAAAGAGGAGACCTTCGTTTGTTCCTTACAAAAATTGAGCCAGATATCCAGTATTTAGTTTCGCAGCATCAGCCTCAGGGATCTCATTAATAATTTAATTAATTAAATGTAATTTCATCAGACTTCCTGTTTCTACAGTGGGGCAAAAAAGTATTTAGTCAGCTACCAATTGTGCAAGTTCTCCCACTTAAAAAGATGAGAGAGGCCTGTAATTGTCATCATAGGTAGACCTCAACTATGAGAGACAAAACGAGAAAACAAATCCAGACAATCACATTGTCTGATTTGGAAAGAATTTATTTGCAAATTATGGTGGAAAATAAGTATGTGGTCACCTGCAAACAAGCAAGATTTCTGGTTCTCACAGACCTGTAACTTCTTTAAGAGGCTCCTCTGTCCTCCACTCATTACCTGTATTAATGGCACCTGTTTGAACTTGTTATCAGTATAAAAGACACCTGTCCACAACCTCAGTCACACTCCAAACTCCACTATGGTGAAGACCAAAGAGCTGTCAAAGGACACCAGAAACAAAATTGTAGACCTGCACCAGGCTGGGAAGACTGAATCTGCAATAGGCAAGCAGCTTGGTGTGAAGAAATCAACTGTGGGAGCAATAATTAGAAAATGGAAGACATACAAGACCACTGATAATCTCCCTCGATCTGAGGCTCCATGCAAGATCTCACCCCGTGGGGTCAACATGATCACAAGAACGGTGAGCAAAAATCCCAGAATCACACAGGGGACCTAGTGAATGACCTGCAGAGAGCTGGGACCAACGTAACAAAGGCAACCATCAGTAACACACTACGCTGCCAGGGACTCAGATCCTGCAGTGCCAGAAGTGTCCCCCTGCTTAAGCCAGTACACGTCCGGGCCCATCTGAAGTTTGCTAGAGAGCATTTGGATGATCCAGAAGAGGATTGGGAGAATGTCATATGGTCAGATGAAACCAAAGTAAAACTGTTTGGTAGAAACACAACTCGTCGTGTTTGGTAAGTAATTATTATTATATGCTTTAACTTGCTATAACTCTGCTTTATAAATTTTATAAAGTAAAGTTATTTCCCTACTTTATAAATCACCATTACTGTGGAACCGGTGGGCGGTTAGAAAATTTTACTACTAACAGAGATACAAAAGTGGGCGGTAGGTATAAAAAGGTTGACTACCCCTGACCTAGAGGAATCGGTAGAAAGAGATCAGTGCTAATATCGAGTGAAGGGTTTGCATTTTGAATTTTTGTACTCCAGGTGTCTGTTCAAACTCTTTAGGTCTAGTAGTGCTCTCCACCCCCCAAATTCTTTCAGACTATGAATAGGATGGAATAAAATCCTTGTCCCCACTGATCTCTTTCTACCGATTCTATAGCCTGAATGTCCAGGAGGTGTTGGATGGCCTCCTTGGTGAGGTTCTTCTTGATCAGATCTTTTGGAGATGGGCAAGGAATGAGCCGGTTCGGGGGTGTTGAGAGGAATTCTAGAGATAGACTGAATCTGATGGTATTTAGGACCCAGAGGTCCATGGTGGTGGCTTGCTATTTGTGAGCAAAAAGGGCTAGCCGGCCACCAATGGGGGAGCCCCCCGGGCCATCACTTGGATCTGCGGTAGGGACGCCCCCCAGCTCCTCGAAAGGGCCGCCTTGCTTGGGCCTGTTGTCTGAACCTGTCCCTGTTATTGTTTCTCTCACCTTGACTGTCCGATCTGGGCTGATAGGGATGGGAAAAGGCTCCCTGATCCATGCCTGCATCAGGTCGGAAGGACGGTCTGCAGGAATAGGAGGGAGCTCTCCTCTCCGTCCTCTTTGTCAAGTGGGCCAAAATCTTGCGTTTGTCCTTATTTTCAATTAGATAAGGGTCAAGCGCCTCGCCAAAGAGCCGGCCGCCCTTATAGGGTGCCGCCACTAAACGCCACTTAGGCTTCATGTCCGCTTTCCGATGTTTGAGCCACAGCAATCTGCATGCACCATTGTTGTACACTATTGCTCAGGCAGAAAAATTGGTTGTCTGTAAGGAGGAATCCGACATGAGCTCCGCTGCTGCCACTAACCTTCTTAAATTCTGGTGAGTTTTCTCCTCCACTGGAAGAATACTCAACTGGAGTTGGTGCAGCCAAAGAAGAGATGTCCTGGCGAAAAAGGACGTAGTGATGCCTGCCTTGATTGCCCACGCCAAGGCCTGGTATGCCCTGTGGAAGATGAGGTCCATCTTCTTGTCTTCTGATTTCAGGGCATCCGCTGCATCCCCAACTATCCATGATGGAGAAAAGAGGGTTGCAATGTGTTCATCTACTGTCGGCACTTCTATTATTTCTGATAGCGCCGGGTCCATGTTGAACATTTTCTTGTCTGCCCCCCCCATTGGGAGGAAGGAACCCGGTGCCCCCATATTGTTCTAAACAGAAACAAAAAAGAGAGGTGGGCAGGGGACAAAATGTTGGGTGTAAGTGGGCTGTGAGAACACCTCGTTGTTTGTGACCTAGCCGTTCGTTTTCTAGCGATTTCCCCCCCCCCCCTCAAATTAGTCAGAATATCAAGAAAATCAAGAGATACGATCTTATCTTCAGGAGTCAATGAAATTCAGTCTAATCGGGTTCAAGCATATAGTGAGCTTAAGTATAATTTTACTTTATTTTCACAATCAGACCCTTGGTAGCCAGAGTTTTTATTAAATTTTGATGTAGCCACAGACTGTTAGTCAACCACATATTAATAGAAAGCCTAACCTAGCCAAATTGTATTAGCCTCTTTCTCCTGAAAGCTGACATAATTCCAAGCATGCATAGAGGTGTGTGGCTACAATACTATTAGAAGTCAGTGTAAGCTATAATTGCAGGCTGAAATAACTGTGAGATTACTATAAAATTTACAATTTAGAAAATTTTAAAGTATTCATTATGCACATTCTTTCATATAGACTAGATTATTCTTGGCAAATTCCAGATGGAATTGAGGTTAAGAAGTATGAGAGTTGTCTAAATATTTCTAGTGCTAAGGGGTGATTTAAAACACTGATTTCATAGCTCCTACAAAGGTACTTAAATTTATAACTGCTTGTCTCTTTTTTTAAATAAGCAATGATCTTTGGCTCCTGGTATGATCATGTGAAAAACTGGTGGAATAAGAGAAATGATCACTCCATATTATACTTGTTTTATGAAGACATGAAAGAGGTAATAGAATAAGAATACCTTTCAAGTATTTTATCGATATTTATTTATTTATTTATATACAGAGTCACTATAGAGTGACTCTGGGGAGTTATGATAGAAATATTTATTTAATCAGTGTTCTAAGGCAGGGGTAAGCAACCTTGGCTCTTTTATGACTCGTGGACTTCAACTCCCAGAATTCCTGAGCCAGCCATGCTGAGGGGAAAGGGAGAGGTTTCCAAACTGAGCCATGCTGGCTCAGGGATTCTGGGAGTTGAAGTTCATGAGTCATAAAAGAGCCAAGGTTGCCTACCCCTGTTCTAAGGTATCCAACTAGTTAATAACTCTGGGCAGCTTACAGAGAATTAAACCAATTAGAAAACCTATTAAAGAGTAATTATGTGGGAGGAATCATATTACTGAGCCACTGCTATTGCTTACCAGAACCATACATAAAACCTAGAGCCAACTCCTAATGCTTCCTGAAGCCCAGTAGGATCAGGGCCATATGGATCTCACAGAGGATATTAGGGCAGAAATAGCATAGAAGAAACTTCCTTTTACAGATAAAAGTTTAAATTTTATGTGTAATATTTTAAGAATCTCTTTCTTGAATCAGATATTGGGACCACTTAGTTCCAAGAAGAGCGAGGAGTGGAAGCAAGGGACCCATTGGCTGTGGAGAATGGTTGGGGGAGAGCCAGCGGAGGTGGAAAGCTGGCTGTAAATGGATTGAGGTAGATGGCTGGAGATGAAAGTGGCGCAGCCAAAGGTCCATGCCTAAATGTCCCATTTTACCACCATAGTCATGTAATTGCAATCTGGGTGCTCATGGACCTGTTTGCATTTAAGACCGGTTGCCAAGTACACTGCAATTTCCAATATTTTCTGCTGATTCCTGCAACAAGTCACTGGGGAAGCTGGCCAGAAAAGTTGTCATCTGCTTCCAGCTTCCAGAAAGACTGCCTCTTGTCTTGAGGCTGGCTGAAAGAATTGCCTGCTGAAGGATCCTGCTTAGATTTTGGCAATCCAAGCAATCACATAGCTGAAATACTTCAATAGGAAGCTCTTTTGCTTTTGGAACTGATTGAAAGAGCTGCATGTTTAAGGATTTCAGTTTTGTGACTCCAAGCAAGCACAGAAGTGAAATCATTCAGCAGGCTCTCTTTTCTCCAGCCCCCAGAGATGAGAGGAAGCCAAGCACCTGAGTTAACAATAGATTTCTGTCCTGTTTATTTTATCCCCTCCTAAGAACTTTTACGTGTGCAGCAAAATTTTATGAAAGGAAATGTGCATCAACAAGTATATGATTTAAATATGATTTTCCATAGGATCCAAAGCATGAGATTAAGAAACTCATACATTTCTTGGGAAAGAATTTTGATGAATCAGTTGTAGATAAGATTGTTTATCATACATCTTTTGATATGATGAAGGACAATCCTATGACAAACTACAGGATGGCTCCAGCTGCTGTAATGGATCATAGTATCTCTCCATTCATGCGCAAGGGTAAGAGGCTATATGACCTTTCTGATCATAATTCTTCAATTTAGACAATTGTTATTCCTTTATCACTCATTTTCAGCTGATAGTGTTGGATTAGAGGCAATATTTCAGTATATATATACTTCATTCTCTATATGTGTTTGATTTGTATTATTGTGCATTTTAGGAATTGCTGGAGACTGGAAGAATCATTTTACAGTAGCTCAGAATGAGGCATTTGATGAGAACTATAAGAAGACAATGGCAGATACAACACTGCAATTCCGAACTGAGATCTGAGGCTCCCATGAGCTGTAACAAAGCTGCTGCTTTTATGCAGTTCCATATACTGTAGAATATGTCATTCAATATGTTTTAAATTCTTGCAAGTCCTTGGTTTTAAAGAAGAAGCAGATTCTAATTTGACAGGTTGCAGATAATATGCACGTAGATTTGGCAAACACTTCCAGACAAAAGGGGCGAGAGGTTTTTGTGACTTTCCTGGGTTTTGGTTCTTTTTCGCAGTAACTTAGGCCATAGTCCTGTTTTAATATATCTCCATAGACGAATATCATTCTTTTTGCTCTTTTAAAAAGAACATTAAAAAAATAATAATTTGGGTAAAAACTGCAGGGAGTCAAAGGATCCATTAGCCTCTACTGTTATATTTCCAAATTATAGTGCTGGTCTCATTGGCTGTTATTAATTGAAAGAAAGGACAAAAATACCCCTACAACTAAGCATGAGTTGTGGATTAAACATTAATACTTTTGAAATACAAACAAGTCATTCCATACAAAATTAGGCACAAGTATAATGTATAAAAGATATTCCTTCAGGAATTTTAAGGAAAAACAATCAAACTTAGACAATGTTCTTTGCATTTTAACCTTCAAATTATATTTGGTCTTACTTCCCCTCAAATAACATTTTATTAAGAATTTTGAACACAATAGTAACAACTTATCCAAACTAAACTTAGAGAAAAATAGAATAAAAAGAAAGAATAAAAAGTACAAGAAAAAAGAAAGCAAAGAACACAATAGAGAATAAATAAAAATATATAAATAAGTGATTTCCAATTTTCATCACAACAGATGTAAATAAATTTAATAACTCTTCACCCGTTTCAAGATATCTCTTCATTCACTATCCCATCCCTTTTCTATGAGATGGATGGATGGATGGATGGATGGATAGATAGATAGATAGATAGATAGATAGACAGACAGACAGACAGACAGACAGACAGACAGACAGACAGACAGACCTAGAAAACATCAATTTTTCAGTCTTGGTTGCAGCAAAAAAATCCATAAAGGGTTGCCAGAACATTGTGTCAGAATATTTTTTTTTGATCATAAATTTATATTCCTTATTGTTACTTCTAACACTGTTGATGGTGATGTGATCATCTACCACCCGAGCTACAAATATTTTCTATCATTTCTGCTTCTAATATTATTGAGCTTTAATTCAATGAAATATTGTTATAGGGCTGATTTCTCTTTAATTCTTCTTTATCCAATCACACAGATTTCTTCAAGGCTTTAACAAGCTTTGTTTGTAAATGAGTAAGAAAACATTTTTCCAGGTCATTCTGTTGGTTTATAATTTGTATTTCCCTTTTTAATATTTAAAATTTCACCCACGTTATTTTGTATATCTAGTAAAACTTTCTTTTCCAAACCACTTTCTTGTCTTATCATTTGTAGTTCCATATTCATCTTACCAGATAAAATTTGTTCCAGATCTGTTAATCTTTCATTAACATTTTTAGACATAATATATCGATAGAAGCAGAAATCATTACTAATAGTTTTGATCTTATAATTGCTAACTTCTGGCTCCATTCTTCAGAGTTCTCCTTTAATATTTCTGATGTTATAATGTATCATGTCATTCTGTAAATTCCATTATTAACTAACATCAGACTTGTATTTTTTCCTTCTGCTGAAAATCTTTAGTCCCCTCTAAATCTTCATTTATCTTTTGTTATGACTTACAGTTGCTAGGATAACCAAAAGAACTCTATTTCCCATGAAAATGTGTTAATCCCAAATTTTTATCATAAAAGTCAGTATTCCAATTTGCAATCCATTTATAACTTTCTCAGATCAAAATCTTATTTAGCTTTTTGTTATTTATTTCGAGTTTTTAAGCTTGCAATTAAATTTTCTTTAAACTCATCTGCTAAAGACTTCAAACCTGTCATCCTAAAGGTCTCTAATAGTTTTAGAATAATAGGGAATTTCTGAAAGTGATTAGAAAGTGAGGTTTGGAAACTTTGTGTCCTTTAAAAGTGTCCAACGCAGTTGCAACAAGATGGCTGATTCTGTCATTTCCTAGTACTCAAACCAAGAGAAAACCATTGTCCTGCAGTCTCCTTATGAAAAGCAGACATCTGATTTCCTGTCCTCTCCTTATTCAAAGACATTCAAGAGAGCTAGTCTATGTGTTCTTTGATCTTTGCCACAATTGCCAGCACCACTTTTGCAGAGCCATCTACAGTTTACAATATTCCACCCCCCCCCAGTCTTACCATTCTCCAAGAACACAAGAAATAAAAAATGAATTTATTTAGCTTCTCAGTTGTGTTGCCTCATCTTGCTCTTTTTGTTTTGTATTTAAACATAAATACTAATAAATCATTATTTGGTGTAGTAAGGTAAACAAAAGTGAGCTGATTTTTCAAAGAGGAAGATTCTTTCCAATCCATTTCACAGGCTTGTTGTTGTAGAGAAGACTAGAGGCAGGACTACTAAGCAGAGGTAATTCTTGTTTACTGACTGAAATTGGTTCCAGTGAAATGGTTGCTAAGTGAACCACTTGCAAGAGGCGGGGGAAACCATGGTTACTGCCTTCTCATGACACATCACCCTCCTCCTTTTCCGCCTTGCAGGGTGAAGAATTTATTTAAATAATCAATTTCTTCCAGAGTTGCCTTTTTCCTTAAGATAGAAAACATTTTTTCCTACCAAAATGCTTTTTTCCTATTTGTATATTCTCCATGTTACGTTGGCCAACTATATATATAGTTGGCCAAATATATATTTAAAAGGAAGTATAAAAAATAGTAATAATAATAATAATAACACAGTAGCAAAAATATCAGAGAAAGGATTTTATAATCCATTTTTTCAGGATTTTATCTAAGCAATTTTGATTGTTGTGATATTATGGGACAATTAAGTTGTATTTATTTCTATTTGTTTATGACAATTCAAATTAAATGTCAAATTAGCATTCAGTCTGGCCTTATGTTATATTACAGTGTGAACAATGTCACAATGAAATACTTAACCAAGACTAGTGTCTAAATAGAGAGGGCCAGTCCACAGACAAAAATATACGCATGGGCTTCCATTTAGCCTGAAGCTGGAAAATGGTAGCAGATGGCTCCAGAAGGCATCTTTAGCCTATAGGAAAAAAGTCTGTTCTTTCTTTTTAAAAACCTTTTTCATTCAATAATTTTAAACTATCTTGAGTGCACTGGCAAAAAAGTAAAATCATAATGTATGAAATATGTAATAAATTCTGTGATTGCCGCTCTCAGCTGTTACTATTCTGGTTCATCATGATTGGGTATAAGTGTTCCTGGGACAGATAACTGAATACCCTAGAAGTGTACACTCATAATTCCAGTAAGATCAGCTACGATCATCCAAGAAGTCTAGCTAAAGCAAGCAATGATACAAAAAGATATTGGAGGTGGCTGATCACTAGAGTGACAGTAGCAAAGGAATTATTTCATACTGTGTAGGAGAGGGCAATGGTAAGCCATTCCTACATTTACCAGGAAAACCACGTGATAATCAATAGTCATTGATGAAGTAGTGATTTATAATGGGTCTCTCAGGCTGAATGGCACTCAACACACTGCTGAGGATTTTTCAGCATACTAATGGTGTTTATGGGAAGGCTAGACTAAAACCTTTGGGACATCTTATTGCTGATGCTATGCAGGAAAAAGAACATCTGAAGCTTGAAAGACAATTACAGTGGAAACATGGATCATAAGCACAAACTTGGGAAAAGTTGACACAGCAGAAAATGAAATAAATGGGCTATGTATACATTGGCATCTTTGACATCAAAGAATAGAAAATAGGATAGGATAGGATAGAATAGAATAGGATAGAATAAGATAGAATAGGATACTGGAAGCTCTACTTTGGGGAGCCACAGCAATAGCCATCATAGGAGTGCTCCTCTGTTGCCCCACCAGTGTATCTCCCCTTGCCTCACTAACTTGCAAAATCACCTCCCATCTCAACAACATGTAAGGATGCCAGCCAAATATCCCTTAAAAGACAAAATGACAACAAATACCAAATCTATTCAGACAGGACCTAACATTGTGCAAAATATAAATATTTCAGAAAAATATTTAAATTAGCACAAAATAGGGAACTTTTAGGAAATCAGCACACTCTCCCCCCGAGAATGAAATATTTTGGGGAATATTAAAAGAGGCAGGATAGAATATTCCCCCTAAAGGAGAAATGGAAAAAAATCTTAACAAAGGCAGAAACAGCCCCAGTCTTCCTGCCTCAAGCAGAAACCTGATGAGGCCAATCTTTAAAAATGGAGATTTTGTAATCCATTCAGAAAGACTAGACCACACTATTTATAAGCAAAATGTTTTCAGCCACAGTTATTTTCTGTTTGATCGATAGAACAAGAATTGTGTTGGTCTGAATATGAGACAGTATATATTAAGGGGGAAAGAGAGGGAATTAGTGGTCGTAATACTTTGAGATTTGTATTGATGATATTTAAATGTAATGGAATTATTGTACTCGGCTGCCACATTGCTTTTCAAATATGCAAATGTAATATTAGAAAATTAATTTAAAAATTTAAAAAAATGTTTTCAGCCACAGCTGCCACAGAAGGCTGGATCTGATAGGATTAGAAAAACAAAGACTCCTAAAATCTACATTCCCCATCCAGCTCCAAGGACAGGACGTGACCTCCCCGCTACAATGGGAGTCAGGCAAACAATAATTATAATACCAAAAGGGCACACTCAAGCACAGGTCAAAGTACATTTCACAAGGAACAGGCATCTCAAACATAAAGTTCCAAAGATGTATAAAAACCCACCTACTCTCAACTCCATTTTGTCAGCTATTCCAGAACTGCATGCTGTTGTTGGTTCTGCTCATCAATAAACCTTCTTACTTAAACAACCTCCATTTTATTCTTGGCTTGGAACTGGATTTGATTTTTCTTCCAACAGAAGGAAATAACAAGGAATTTAAGATGGCTTTTAGAAGAGACAAGAAGCAGTATTGCACTGATATCTGTAAAGACATTGACAATGAAAATAGAAAAGAATGGGTATGCTTCAGATCCCACCTATTAAACTTAATCTTAACTTAATCCAAGGATGCGTGCCTTATTTGTAGTCATAGTTGTCTGGTATTAACAAATGGAAACGTTACGGGGATTGATGGAATGCTTACAGAAATATAGCAAGCAACAATAGAAGGAGGTTCTAGCCAAACTATGCTAGCAAATTCAGAGAACAATACATGTGCCTACACACTAATAGAAAGAAAAGAAAATAAACCATACAAAATATTGTGCAATATTCTTAATTTCATAGGCTAGCAAAAATAAAGCTCAGGATCATCCAATGAAGATCAGATGTGGAAAGGGATATTACATTGAATGGGAGAGATTAAATGGGAGAGGTTATTTTTAAAAAGCTGAGGTACAAGAGATATTACTGCTGATGCATGCTGGATACTAAGAAAAAAACCCCAACATATGCTTCATTGATTATAAAAAAGTTTTCATGTCAAACTTTAAAATGTTTTTAGAATAATGGAAATCCCAGATTATTGTTCTCACGTGGAATTTGAACATAGTTCAGGAAATCACAGCTGGATGGAACATGGTGACAAAGAGTGGCTTCATGTTGGTAATGGAGTAGGAAAACATACACTCTCTTTATTTATTTAACTTATATGCTGAATACATATTGATGGGGATGGGTTGGAAGATTAGCAGAGTTTTAAAACTAGAAGAAGAAATATCAACCTGCATTATGCTAATAGTGCCACTATTCTGACTGGTGAAAACGCAAATGATCTGGAAAACTAGTATTCAGAATAAAAAATATCTGTGAAAAAATGTAAATACAAAGGATAAGTTATTGAGAACAAATACAGCAAACAGTTTTAGAATCAACAATGACTATCAACAATGAAGAGGTGGCTGGCTTCCACCTTTATGAATCAGTTATCAACAGTAAGGGTACCAGTAGTCAAGAAAAATGCTAGACTTGGATTTTTTTGCATTTTTTTTTAAATCTATGGTTTTGATGATTAGATAGGATAGATTTTAAAAAGAAGTGAGTTACAATGTAATTTTAGAGAGAGGTAAATCTAAAATTGTATTTATAACTACTGCAAAGGAGATCAGACTCTATCTATGGAGCTTCTTAGTCATCCAGGTCATAGTTATCCCAAAGATGCTTTTTCACGAGGCAACTGGACTTTCTTGTTTTTCTTTGAAGACATTTCGCTTCTCATCCAAAAAGCTTCTTCAGCTGACTGGATGGTGGGGAATGGAAAGATTTATATTCCTTGCAGACAGCTGTTAATTTGCATTTTTTTAGTGAGTAATTATAGTACTGGGAAGCTTATCTGTGTCTTTAGGATCACCTGAGTAATGCAAATGGGTGTGGAGCCTTCTTGGAACTGTTGAAAGGACTGTGTTATAGACTGGAGATAGAGACTAAATTTTGCTAGCAATTGTAGATCTCTTCACAGTCACAGAGTCAGCCATCAGGAACAATAAACTGGCAGAACTAGAGGCAGAACAATTAAGAATGAAGGTATCTGCAGCCCTCGCCAGTGCCAAAACATCCCCTTCCAACCTCACAATTCAAGAAAGGAGAGCAGTGACACCCTTAGGAAGAGGACCAAACATCACCATCTTGCCAGCTGATAAAGGAAGATGCACAGTCATCCTGAGCACAGATGACTACATAGCCAAGGTAAGCAGTCTTCTGAAGGACACTGCCACATATGAGACTCTAAAGAGAGATCCCACCAGCAATTACAAGAAAAAGGTCATTGATTTCTTGCAATACTTAGTAAAGGACAATGCCATTGACAAGCCATAATACTACTGACTTTACTCTGGAGAAGCCACGCCATGCATATATGGACTCCCCAAAATCCACAAAGAAGAAATACCACTCAGACCTATAGTTAGCAACATCAACTTGATCACCTACAATATTACAAAATATCTAACTACCATACTGGCTCCTCCAGTTGGTAATACCACTCAACATATCAATAATTCACACAATTCACAATCTTGCCAGCAAGATTTGGAAAATAAAACTGGATGTGGATGAGACCATGGTTTCCTAAGATGTGACTTCACTCTTTACTTGCATCCCAATAACTGAAGTGGTCACGGTAGTGAAAAAACATCTGCTACAAGACAGAACATCTGCTAGGTGACAGAACCAACCTCAGCCCAGACCACATATATGCCCTGCTGGACCTCTGCCTGACCACTGCCTATTTTCAATACAGTGAAGGTTTCTACAGACCAAAACATGGCTGTACCTTGGGCTCACCTATGTCCCCCATTGTGGCCAATCTCTACATGGAAGAGATAGAAACCAAAGCCCTAAACATCTTCATAGGAATTCCACCCACTCACTGGTATAGGTATGTGGATGATACTTAGGTCAAGATCAAAACACAGGAATTGGAAGCATTCATCAAACATATCAACTCGGTGGACAGATACATCAAATTCACATGTGAAGCTGTTAAGGAAAATAGTCTAGCCTTCCTGGACTGTGCTGTATACATTAAGGAAGACAGAAGCCTTAATATTGAAATTTACAGAAAACTCACACGGATCAATATTTACATTTTGATTCATACCACCCACTGGTGCACAAAATGGGAGTTATCAGAAACCTCCACCACAGAGCTGAAGATTTGCCTACCAACAAAGAAGGAAAAGAAAAAGACATAAAACACATCAAGGAAGCCCTCAGAACATGTGGCTATCCCAAGTGGGCCTTCATCAAATCTCAAAAAAGACCTAGCAGGAGCTCCTCTGTAACAGATGAAGAAAACAATAAACAAAGCAATGTAGTCATTCCATACGTTACAGGAATATCGGAAAAACTCAGGAGGATTTTCAACCAACACAACATACGTGCACACTTTAAACCTAAGAATACATTAAAGCAGAAGTTTGTCCACCTCAAGGATAAAACACCCAGACACAAATTGAGCAACGTGATATATGCAGTACAATGCAGCGAGCCATGTGCAGATCTGTACATTGGGGAAATGAAACAACAACTTCATAAATGTATGGCACAACATAGGGGAACAAACCCATCAGGACAAGAGTTAGCAGTCCATCTGCATTTAAAAGACAAAGGCCACTCTTTTGAAGACAGCAAAGTCCACATTTTGGACAGAGAGGACCACTGGTTTGAAAGAGGGGTAAAAGAGGCCATCTATATCAAAATTGAACAGCCCTCTCTCAACAGAGGGGGA